TGGCTCCTCAGCCTGTCCCTCCCTCCCCCTCCTGCCCTGCCCGCCTCCTCCCTGCACCCTGGGTCTTGGGGACCGTGGCTCCTCAGCCTGTCCCATCCCTCTGCAGCTGCCTCCCACTTCCTTCCATGCTAGGTTTTCCAGAGCCAGTGCCATTCTTCTTCGCTCCGAGCCAGCCCTGCGCCCTGTGTGCCCCCCCCCTCCGTGCAGGCCGAGTCTCCTGCTATTCCCACCCCTTGCTGTGCTTCCTTCTCTTGTGTCCTCTGTGTGTCCACTGTTGCTTGACCAGCTGGCTGTTTCCAGTGCCCCCAAGATAGACCCAAGTACCCCCCAGGGCTTCCCACCAGTCAGGGGAAGGCCCACACCACACCCTCTGGAGGTCAGATTCTGGCCTCCTTAGAGAGGGAGTCCCTCCTGGCCAGCCTAGACTGGCCCTGGCCACTGCCAGGCCTGTACTGCGCACTATGGGTGAGGTCCTGGGCAGGGAGTGGGCAGAGTGCAGGAGGAGGGGCTGGGGAAAGTGGCTGGGGACTGGGCACAGCAGAGCTGGCACAGGAGGGGCAGAGCCTCCACTCCCGGCCATCCCAGGTCTGGCTGGGCAGGACCCTGGGCCTGTCTTGGAAGTTGCTGGCTGGGGCCACCCCTGCCACAACCCGCCTCCAGCTGTCTGCACAGAGACCTGCTGACCGAGCCCCAGGAAGGCGGGGCCCTGTGTCCAGACGGCCAGCAGGGGTAGCCACAAGAAAAGCCTCCTGGAGGTGGGGGAGGCCCGGGGCTGCCGAGGCCGTGGGAAGGGGATGGGGGCCACCTGGACGGAAGCTCCCAGCTGCAGGGTGGATCCTAGTTATGGGTCATGTCACTGCACACCCAGCCTGGCCCCAGGACACCCCTGTGGGCCCAACCCCAAGCCCAGCCCGGACAGAGCCGGCGTCCGCTTTGCCTTCCTGACCCAGGAAGGGTGGGTGCATGTGGGGCGGAGTGGGCTCAGGACTCATCCACCGCTGGGCAGAGGTGGCCCAGCTTGGGCTCCTTTCCCAGGATCAGGAGCCCTGTGGCAAACTCCCGGCTGCCGGTGCATCTGCAGAGGCCTGGGGGCTTTCCCGGCCCAGGGCCCCTTCTGCCAAGGCTAGGGTACCTGGGAGGAGCCCGAAGGCTCCATCGTGCCCCGCTGGCTCCTGGGGCCCCGGCCCCGGCCTGGCTGAGCCGCCCCGGGTGCGGGGGTCTCGCCTGCCTTGGCAGGAGCTGCCGTGGGGGCACGGTTCCCACTGCGGCTGTGTCACCGCTCTGGAGTTGGCAGCGGGTGTGGCTGGCAGCCATAGCAAGCCGCCTGACCGATCACAGGCCTGGGGCTGCTGCCCCACCGTGGGAGCCGTGCGTGGCACGGTGCATGCGGGGCTGCGCCTGTCTGGAGGGGCCTTCCGGCGCTCAGGGGCTCCGCTCTGCGGGGCCGTGGCTGCCCCGTGCCTCCTGCAGTAGATGGCAGGGGTGCCACTGGTGCCTGCCAAGATGGCGGCATGCCGGCTGGTGGGTGCAGGGGGGCTCGCACATGTGGGTGGCAGGACCAGCTCCCCTGGTCATGGGGTGTGGACAGAGCCAAGCCTGGCCCCGGGGGCCACTGGGACTGGATTGGGGTCACTCACTGGAGGAGGTGCAGTGTCCGGGGGGGGGTCACCGGAAGAAGGAAGGAGCAGGCAGGGAGGGAGGCAGTGGGCATGTGGGGGAGACGCAGGCCGGCTGGACGAGGCCCTGAAGACACTCACAGCCAGGGCTGCCTGTGCCAGGACCCCAGTGGGCCTCCAGGGAGAGGCCCTAGCCAGGCGCCCGCCCAGGGTCTCAACACCACCACCACAGGCCAGCCAGGCCCCGAGGCCACCACGCCTCTGCCCAGCTCTAGGCCTGTCTGGCCGGGGCCCTCTGGAGTGAGGCATGGGTGACACTAGGCTCTGGGTGCCTCTTCTGGACCCTCAGTGGCCCAGGGCTGGCAGGACAAAGCGAGTGCCAAGTTGCTGTGGCATTTGACCATTTGCACAGGACTTGGGACAGCACCTTAGAGCCTCCCTACCCGCTGGGAGCCAGACTGGCTAGCAAGTGTCCCCCTCTGCCCGCCCCTCCACATGTCCCCTCTGCCCGCCCCTCCACATGTCCCCTCTGCCCGCCCCTCCATGGAACAGGGAGCCTCACGTAACCCACCCAGAGCAACCATACTGGGTAGGTCTAAATGTCTCCTTCCCCCGTTGGCCCAGCCCCCACAGCCCTCCATGGCCCCACTGCCTGCCACAGTCCCCATGGTCCCCCCAGCCCCCCCGTGACCCCCACATCTAGATCTACTTGGGAATCTTTTTTTGGGGTCCGGTTGTGGGGCTTGAACTCTGGGCCTGGGCACTGTCCCTCAGCTCTTCAGCTCAAGGCTAGCACTCTACCACTTGAGCCACAGAGCCACTTCCGGCTTTTTTCTTTTTGCTTATGTGGTGCTGAGGAATCGAACCCAGGGCTTCAGGCATGCAAGGCAAGCGCTCTACCACTGAGCCACCTTCCCAGCCCTTACTTGGAAATCTTTCAGGGATCCAACTCCAAGACCACAGCCAGGGCAGGGACCACCAAGCCCCACCACTGGCCCTGTGCAGGCCACCACCCCTGGGCGGGGCGGGGGGGAACAGTCTCTGGGGACCGTCTCCCTGTGCTTCTCGGGGCTGCAGGAGCCTCCGTTGTCAGCAGGCCACCCCATGTCCAGGCTGGCTTGAGCCTTACGACGGGCCTGGACCCCGGGGCTGCCACCACCCTGGGGTCATCTGATGCCGCTGGCCGTGGTGCCTGGGCCTGTTCCTTGGCTCCAGTGTTTACTCCTAACACAAGCGGGAAGTGCCTGCCACCTACTGACGCAGGCTGTGGGCACTGGAGGAGGGGGCACGGGATTGCTCCCCAAGTCCCAGCTGTGGCAGCAGCAGCCGCTTGGCCACCTCCCTGTCCCTGGAGGCGTGCCAGCCTGTTGGAGGAGGCTTGTGTGAGGGAGGGCAAGGGCACCATTCCAAGGCCACAGACTTGCCTTCTCTAGGGACTCCGGTTTCCCTGTTGCCTGGAGACCTTGTCCCAGCTCTCCCAGGGGAACGGTGAGGCCCAGGCCTGACCTGGGGAGCAAGCGAGGGCCAAGGATCTCTGCAGAGATCCCAGGGCACAGACAGGTTCCCAAGGCTGGGTGGGTCCCCGAGCTGGTGGGCGGCCCCCGCCCCCGCCCGGCTCCAGCCTGTGCCCTCGGGTCCAGCCTGCCGCCCACCACGCTGCTGCCCGCCACTGTTCCCACAAAGCGTGGGCTGCCGGCGTCACTGAAAGGAAGAGGGGCTTGCCTCAGGGCTCCCTGTCTGCGCTGGACGGGCTCCCCAGTCTGTGCTGGACAGTCCAGCTGGAGCAGAGAGGCTCCTGGCCAGGTTAGATGGCCCGAGCCATGTTTCAGAGCCTCGGGGACAGACTGAGGACAGAGCGTAGCCCTGTAGGGTGGGCGTGTGGTGGGGCCAGCCTCTGCCCAGCTGCGAGGCAGGGGGTGAAGGCCACAGAGGGCAGCCGCCAGCCGTGCTCCTCCGCCCAACTGCGTGGAGCAGCGTCTCTGGGGGCTCCACCTTTGACCTTTCTCTGGCTGGCTGTCCAGGTGGACACGGGGAGGCTGGAGGCCCTGCTCAGCGCACAGTGAAGGACAGGTGGCTGAGGGGAGGGGTGTGAGGGGGAGAGGGTCCTGCCGTGGATGGGCCAGGCCTGCGGTCCAGACAGGTGGGCCAGGGATCCAGTCAGAGCCTGCCTGTGGGAATCGGGCAGAGGGTGAGCGGGGTCCAGCTCTGAGGTCCTGAGGCTGAAGTGGGCGGCCCCTCAGGGGCCACAGTGCCCTCAAGTAAGCAAGTAGAACTGGCGGGAATGGCGCAGGAGAGCGGGTGGGTGGTGCTCGAGCTCCCTGAAGGTCTCCAGAGGCACCTGTGCCGCGAGGGGCAGACGGGGCTTTGGGGCAGAGGGCAGGGCAGGAGCTGAGCTGTGGCCCCTCCACACCCGCCTGCGCTCCGGCAGACATCGAGGTCCCGGGGCCCTCCCGTGTGCACAGGCCAGGGTGTCCCCTGCCCGGCCACCCCAGGGGCCCTCTGGACTGAGTCCCACCCAGCACCCTGGAGATGTCCACTGCTGGGCCACCCCAGCAGTCCCTGCTGCCAGCCGGGACCAAGGACATGGTTTCCAGGGCATGGAGTGGTGTGCGGTCAGCTGGCTGGCCCATGGCGGAGTTGGCCAGGGCCTGCAGCCTGGCCCCAGTGCCCACCTGAGGGGCCCGCCCCAGCCAGCCTGCAGCCCAGAAGCTGAGCTCAAAAGAAGGCTTTGGAGAGCTCTTTTCTTTAATTCTTGACTGGGTAACACCAGCCCAAAGGAAGGGGCTGTGCTGAGGGGTAGGGGCAGGTTGGGCTGAGGGGCTGAGGGCCAGGGCTGGTTGGGCTGAGGGGCTGAGGGTCAGGGCTGGTTGGGCTGAGGGGCTGAGGGCCAGGGCTGGTTGGGCTGAGGGGCTGAGGGGCTGAGGGCCAGGGCCGGTTGGGCTGAGAGTCAGGGTGGTGGGTTGGGCTGGTTGGGCTGAGGGGCTGAGTCCACACTTGCTGGGAGGGATGAGGCCCCTCTGCATCAGAGAGGAGGCCCGGGAGCAGTCTGCAGAGCCCAGCCTTGGCCAGAACTGTTCCCACCCAGGCCGGGACCCTCGCAGAGCTGGGGCCTAGCCTGGACCCTTCCCATGGACAAGTGACTGCAGGACCAACCGCTGGACAGCCCCCTTGTGCCGGGGCGGCGCTGGCCTGGGGCTGGGAGTCAGGCCCACCCTCAGTACTCAGTGCCATCTGTTCTGTCGGTCTGTCTTCCCAGGGTGGCAACAATGCTGGCCACACGGTGGTGGTGGATGGCAAGGAGTATGACTTCCACCTGCTTCCCAGTGGCATCATCAACAGCAAGGCCGTGTCCTTCATCGGTGAGTGCTGGCCCCGGCCCTCCACACACGCCCCGTGGAACAGGGCAGCCTGGGGCTCCATGTAAGGGGTCTGGGCACAGGCCTCCTTACTCGGGAGGTCCTCCTACCCCTGCTGGAGCAGACAGACGTGCAGACAAGGACAGGGCCCGGCCTGGAGCTGCCCCGAGGGCCCGAGGGAGGCCCTGAAGAGTGCACTGAGCTGTGTGCATGTGCATGGTCAAGCACACACGCTTGCTTGCGCACGAGTCCACACCCCACACTTGCACGCTGCTGAGCCAAACCAGCTTCCTGCTGTGCAGCCTGTGCCACGGGGAGCAGCTGTCCACAATCAGGCTGCTGCCGCAGGCCCCTAACGACCCCCCTCCACGCTGCAGCCCCCCTTCCCCTGACAGACCTGCCCCCCTCCACACTGCAGCCCCCCTTCCCCACAGTGCCCGGCCTCTCTGGCTCAGCCATCCCAGTTGGCCTGACTGGAGCCATCAGTGACCTTCTGTGCCCCGAGAGACAGGTCAGCCCCTGGCTGGAGAACCTGGCTGTCTCCCGCCTCCTTCCCTCCCCTCCGTCTTGGCCTCCAAGCTGGACTGCTGTCCTGACCTCCCCTGTGACCCAAAGCCCTGCCCTCAGACCTGCCTCGCCTGGCATCCCAGTCCTTGTCCTTGTCCTGGCTTGTACTTGTGACCACAACACTCACACACATGCACGCACATACATACACACACACACACACACACACACACATACACACACATGCACGCACATACATACACGCACACATACATACATGCACACGCATGCACATATGCAATGCATGCGCGCACATGCACACATACATACATGCACATACATGTGTGTGCATGCACATACAAACATGCACACAAGCATACACATACATACACACATAAACACATATACATACATGCGTACATACACATACACATTCACACAAATGCACATATATACATGCATACACATACATACATACACACACCCTGTTGGCCTTGGGTGGCAGTGGTGGGCACAGTGTCTGCCCACAGCTTATGGGCAGAGGAGGAGCATCAGCCAGGCAGGGACTCCGATTAGTAAGTGGCCAGCCCCCCCACCCCCACCCCACACACCCACACACCCACGCCTTGCCAGCCCAGAGACAGCTGTTCACCTACACACACCCACATCTGGCCAGCCCAGCTCAGGGCCAGCCCCCACACACACACATCACGTCTGGCCGTCCATCCCAGCCCAGGGCCAGCCCCCCCCCACATCACATCTGGCTGTCCATCCCAGCCCAGGGCCAGCCCCCCCCCCACATCACGTCTGGCCGTCCATCCCAGCCCAGGGCACTCTGGGCCCCTTGGTGAGAGTGAGGGGGGGGAGGGCCTGAGGACTCTGCGCAGCCCAGAGCACAGGTGGGGGGGGTCACAGGGAGCTGCCCTGGCCCCAGGCCTGCTTAGCAGGGCAGGCAGCGCCCTCCGAGCGCGCGCCTGACACCCCTTGCGTCTGCCAGGCGGTTATTTTGAGCCGCTGTGGCATTTGGGTGACCTTTCGCTCCCTGCGGCTTGTGTAATCCCTGGTCACTCTGTCTGGCGTCTGGCCCGGCGCCCGGCTCCCTCGGCCAGGTCTGTGCTCCCCCACCCCACAGGCCACCCCACAGGCCCGCAGAGGGACTGCGTGAGCCCCCCGGGAGCTCCAGGGCTCAGGGCCCTGCAGCCCAGGCCTCCTGCAGGCCATCCTCCCCCTCCCAGCCTGGGGCCCGCATGGCAGCCCACAGGGCCACACCTCCCAGCACCCACGCCCGTCCTCACCACGGCTCCACACACAAGCAGCGTTCCAAGGAGAGACTTCTGCATCACGGTGCACAGGGCGGTCCCCACGGTCCCCTTCTGAACACTCCCACCACCCAGACACCCCCTGGCCCGCCTGCCGTCTGGCCAGGCTTTCCTGCTGCTCTGGGCACCGTTTTCACGTTTGGTTGTTTTTTTAACCGTGGTAACACATAACCAAACAGGCCAGGCTCTGGTCACACGAGCCTGTGATCCAGCCGCTCAGGAGGCCTCGTGAGATCTGAGCAGTTCAGCCAGCTCAGACCAAAAAGCCCATAAGACACTTACCTCCGATTAAACACCAGAACGCCCAAAGCGGGGCTGTGGCTCGAGTGGCAGAGCACCGGCCTCGAGTGCAAAGCTGAGGGACAGCGCCCAGACCCCGGCTTCAAGCTCAGCGCCAGCACAGGCACACATGCACACACACACACACACACACACACACACAGCCTTTGGAGGGAGTACAGCACTGGAATTTGAACTCAGGGCCTTGTGTCTGCTAGGCAGATGCTCTCCCACTTGACCTCTTGGCTTTATTCAGGTAAGGTGGCTAGTTTTTGCCTGGGCCGTGACCTTCTAGACTGGCAAGGCTCCCGGTGCCTGCCACTACATCTAGCTTTATTGGCTGCTCCAGCTGGCCTCAAACCACAGTCCGGATTGCTTCCTCTAGAGTATCTTCGCCATAGGTATGAGCTACTAGGCAAGCAAGATATACTATTTAAGTCAAGTTTCCATGTTGTTCAACGTACTATTATATTTACTTACGCATGGCAGTACTAGAGGTTTAAACCCTGGGCCTCACACTCGCTAAGCAGGTTCTCTACCACTTGAGCCACACCTCCAGCCCTACTGGATTTGTTTTGAGTGGTTTCAGGTTCATGACAAGTTTTCAAGGGAGGAACAGAAAGCTTATGTAAGGCCCTGCCGTGCTCGGCAGCCCAGGGCACCTGTGTCCCTGCTGAGCCAGGCTGCCAGCTCCCAATGCAGATTGCACAGAGGCTGCGGCCAGGTCAGACGTCCCGTGGGTCACGCATGGCGTCTCGCTGCCTAACCCCCAACCCCACACCCCCTGCCTAACCCCCGACCCCACACCCCCTGCCTAACCCCCGACCCCACACCCCCTGCCTAACCCCCGACCCCACACCCCCTGCCTAACCCC